TATATATATACAAATTGGAGTCCTGGTGTGGTGCTGTGGGTTAATGTGCCAGACCGCAAAGCTGTTTGAACTGCAAGGTTGGTGGTTCAAGCTCACCAACTGCTCCTCGGAAAGCCTACACAGGGTCGCGATGGGTCGGGATCGACTCGATGGCACTTAACAACAACAACAATATACAATTTGTTCAGTAACATTAGTTATATTTTTCACAATGTGTCAACATTCTCTTCATTGCATTCTGGTTGTTCCATTTTCAGTGTTTTTATTTCTCTGCCCCCTATTTTTCATCTTTGCTTTACAGTAATTGTTGACTTTTTGGTTTCATATAGATTTTTAAAAAGATATTATTGTGAGTTGAGTGATAGTTTACATGGGAGAACTTTGGTTTTACACTCATCCTATCCTATTTCATTTCATTGCGATGATTACAATCATCATTCAACAGTATTTGCTTCTATTCCCTATGGGTTTTTTGTTTTATTTTGTTTTGGGATGTACACAAAAACACTCAGGAATGTATAATCATTTGAACAACCAAAGGACACATTCTGCAAGTCTGCCTCCTGGACGCCAGCACACAGCCTTTCTCTTTCCATGAGTCTAGCGTCCTCAGCTGCTCTATCTCTCAAAGTCATCATCTCTGCCTCCATCTCTGGTGTTCTTTGGATAGAGTCCCACATTCCACTCATGCTCTTCTCCCTTGAAGATCCTGGGGTCCTCTGTTCCTGGATAGATTTTTTAAATGGAACATCAAAGTCATGGGTAACATCCTTTTTTTTGTGTCTATGAATGTATTACTCAGCTAAAAGGTGATCTCAGAGGACAACTTCAGTTCAGAAGTCTTCTAGTTTCAACTTATCCAATAAGTTTGAACTTAAATTTACTTATTTATTTTTAATTAAGCTTTTTATTGTGATTTAAGGAGCTCTGGTAGCGTAATGGTTATGAATTGGGCTGCGAACCACAAGGTCGGCCGTTCAAAACTACCAGCTGTTCCGTGGGAGAAAGATGACGCTTTCTGCTCCCGTAAAGAGTTACAGCCTTGGAAACCCTCTTCAGGGTCACTATGAGTTGGAACTGACTCCACGGTACTTACCAACAACAACAACATTGTGATTTGGGTGAAAGTTTACAAAGAAAATTTAGTTTTCCATTCATCAAATCATATACATGTTGACTCATGACATTGATTGCATTCTTCACAGTGTAAAAACACTCTTCCCATTTCCTCCCTGTGTTACTGTTTTTATTTGTCTGTCTTTCCTATTCGTTCCTTCATTCTGCACTTTTTTCCTGGGAAAATGCTGCCCTTTGGTCTCATATGGTGAACAGTTCTAAGGAGTTTGTGCTGGTGTTGCACTGTGGGATAAAGCATTTGATCACAAGGTTGCTTTGAACTACAAGATTGACAGTTCAAACTCATCACCTGCTCTTTGGAAACACTATACAGGGTCACTATGAGTCAGAGCCGACTCGACAGCACTTAACAACACCAATAACAATTGGTTCAAACTCACCAAATGCTCCTAGTAAACCCGATACAGGGTTGCTATGAGTTGGAACCAACTCGACGGCACTTAACAGCACAAAATTATTGTTCATCTTATAGGCTTATCTATTACTTGACTGGGAGGCCAGGAAGGCCAAACTTTCTCTCTCATACTTCGGACATATCATCAGGAGGGACCAGTTGCTGGAGAAGGATATCATGTTTAGTAAGGTGGATGGTCAGAGAAAAAGAAGAAGACCCCCAGCGAGATGGATTGGCCAAGTGGCAGCATCAATGGATTCAAGCATGGCAACAATAGTGAGGTTGGCCCAGGATTGGATAGTTTTTCATTCTGTTGTGCATAAGGTCGCTATGAGTCAGTATGGACTCGATGGCACCTAACAACAACAACAACAACATTGCTTGACTTTAAGCCACAGGGATGACTTAAAGGGTTAAAGAATGCCTAAGGACATGGTGCTATAGGAAAAGCACTCGACCTTAGGGTTGGTTTAAACCACAAGTTCTGTGGTTTAAACTTTCCAGCTACTTCTTGGAAACACTATACAGGGTCGCTGAGTTGGACCAACTCGATGGCACTCAACAACAGCAAAGAGGACCATAGGTAGTCCTGGTGTGGTGTTGTAGGATAAGCACTGGACTGCTAACTGCAAGGTCAGTGGTTCAAACACACCAGCCTCTCCTAGGAAACTCTATATGGGGTCGCTATGAATTGGAATCTATTTGACAGCACTTAACAACAGCAACAAGGGCCCTAGGGGGATGTGGTGGCTCCACAGGATAAGCACAGGACTTCTAACCATAAGCTCAGAAGTTTGAGCTCACCATGGAAGAAAGATGTGGCTTTCTGCTCCTGCAAAGATTTAAAGCCTAGGAAATTCTATACAGGGCACTAAGAGTCAGAACAGACCTGACGGCACTTAACAAAGGGCCATAGTCTCGAGAATTTCGTCAGTCTTTCTTTGTCCAGTAAGCCTGGTCTTTTATTTTTATTTTTATGATTTTGAGTTTTGTTCCATATTTTTCTGCCTCTTTATCCAGGACCTTCTGTTGTGATCCCTTTCCAAGTTGGCTGTGGTAACAGGGCACCATCTAGTTCATCTGGTTTCAGGTGTGCGGAGGGTATGGTTCATGAGGTCCATCAGTTCTTTGGACTATTTGTTTCCATGAATCTTAGATTTTCTTCTTCTTTTTTGTTCTGGATGGGTAGAGAACAGTAGTTTTACCTTTAGCATGGACTTTTTTAGAAATTGAGTTCTGTTTGCATTTTTCTTCTGTTTTATTAAGGTCCATCTGTGGTTCTGATCAGAATTGTCAGTAATGGTAGCTGAGTGCCATCTAGTTCTTCTGGCTTTAAGGTAAAGGCTGTGGCTTACATAGGCTATCTCATTTCTTCTCTGAGAGTTTGATTTTCTTCTTTCTCTTTTGCTCTTGACTAATAGATATGTGGTATGGAGTTGTAGGACAAGCACTGAACCACAAGGTTGGTTTGAACTACAAGGATGGCAGCTCAAACTTACCAGCCACTCCTCGGAAACCCTATACACGGTGGCTATGAGTTAGAACTGAATCTACAGAACTTAACAACAACAACAGTAGAGATCAGTCATGGTATGGCACTGTAGGATAAGCACTGTTAACTTATGTGTGTGTGGTTCACAAGGTATGTCGTTCAAATCTACCAGCTGCTCCTTGGAAACCCTATGTAGAGCCGATACTGACTCTACAGCATTTAACAAGTAGAGACCAATAGTTGTATCTTGGATGGCTTCTGGAAATCTTTTAAAACCCCAGACACTACTTACCTCACTAAAATGCAGAAAATGAACTTTGTGAATTATATTATGCCAAATGACTGAGTTGTCCCATGAGACTAAGATGCTAAGCCTTCAGAACCAGAAAAACAAATTTGCTAGATATTTGGTTCTGTCTGAGGAATATATTTAACTGTATTCTCTATGAGTATATGTACACATACACATACATTTGTATATACATATGGAGACTTCATTATATGCAAACATATATACATACCTGTATGTACCAGTGCACATATATGCCGATACACATATATATGTGACCTTTTAAAAATTATTGTTGGTGCCATTGCACAATTATATATGTCATATTCTTAAGCACAATCCTCCTTTTCTTGAGTGTGATTCTTAGTGGTATGATTTACTTTGGTTAAGCTGTGTTCATTACACCCGCATTTGGTGTTTGGGCATTCTCATTTCTGAACTGAGACATGACTATAACTTAAATGGACAAGACTGTATTACCTAAATGAGATGAGAAAAATCATGAGATTACCCAGAATTTCTTCCAGAAGTTTGGAAAAAAGTAGTTCTCACTGAGAAGTTTCAAAAGAACATTAGAAAAGGGATTATAACCATTGTAATGAAAAAAAATATATGATTTGTTGAATGTAAAATATGATCTCCCCTGTAAACTTTCACTCAATTCACAATAAAAACTTTAAAAACAAAAAGTGAACATTAGAGACAATGTAAGATTTGCAGTCTGGTTGTTGTTGTTGTTGTTGTGTGCTGTTGAGTCGGTTCCAACTCATAGCGACCCTGTACAGGGTTTCCGAGGCTGTGAATCTCTACGGGATCAGAAAGCCTCATCTTTCTCCTGCGGAACAGCTGGTAGTTTCGAACTGCTGACCTTGCGGTTTGCAGCCTGACTCATAATCGCTACACTACCAGAGCTCCTTCCAGTCTGGTTACAGTTCATAAATTGTGCTTCTTCAACATACCAGATACAGATATTGTACTCGTTTTTTCACCTAGATTTAAGTTTGTTGTTGTTAAGTGCCATCAAGTCAGTTCTGATTCATAGTGCCCCCTATTGTGTTTCTGAGGAGTGGTGGTGAGTTTGAACCCTGACCTTGCAGTTCAAATCAACTTTGAGGTGGAGTGCTTATCCTACAGTACCACACCAGGACTCCAAATTTAAATTAGGAGTATAGGAAAATATATTTTAAAGAAACTAGATCTATTACAAACAAGAAATTAAAAATAACAATCTAATTAATCAGACATTTTCATATAAAATATAGTGTTACCTTGTTATGATGAAGCCATAAGTATTTTAAGTTTTTGAACCTAGAAAGATCAGTTACATCTGTGAGTTCCCTGGAAAGAAAAAGCAAAAATGTGAACGTTAGTCCCTATAGGTGCCATCAACTACATTCCGACTCATAGTGGTCCTATGAACAGTAAAACAAAACATTACCGGGGCTTCTCTTGTGAATGTGACCTTATTTGGAAATAGGGTCTTTACAGATATAATTAAGTGAAAGATTGCATACTCTGTCTGTCTGTCTGAATTGTCTCAAACCTACAGCCAGCTATGGCTACTAGGAATGACATACCATGCACCCCTGCTGGCAGCAACCCTTTCACCTGTAACTGAGTTGAACACACAAGACACATACACAGTGTTGGCAAAGTGAAAGCCATTATTAGTAACCATTCAAAGTCCCATGCCAATTTATTCATTTTCCCTCTGCAATCCCACGTATTCCAGAATCTTTTGTATTAGATATTAGTTTTCAGACCTCATCTCTTTTTCTGACTCTGGGGTAAGTCAGTGGGAGTCAGCTGCAAGCTAGGGAGCTTGTGTGATCTTTCCCCTACTTCAGCCACAAGCTAGGGTGTTTGTACAGCTTTCTTCACTCTAAACTAGATGGCCCCACTATTCCCTTAGACACGATTGATGACTGAACAGCTCCTGGAACAAAGCTACCTCAAAGGGGTTATTGCTTTCAAAATGCCATGCTCCTGTTTCAATCACAGCTCACTAACTATGCCATTTAATCTGTAGGTACATGTCTTTCTGTCTATCTACACTGCACATCATACAGGCAGGCTGTGCCTCAACCTTTTAGGCAACCATAAGACTGACAAAAATGAGACACATCCAAGGGGGCTTCAAAATATTTGTGGAGAAATCCCATCTTTTAATTTCATTTCCCCATGAGCTTTTTTGAAGCCCCCTCATTCATCCACTGGCTTCAACCATTCTATGAGTGCTACGTTAATCTGTGATTGAATCGGACACATGAAACACTTACAAGAACGTATTGACAAAGTGAAAACCATCATTATTATATATAGAAAGAAAAAGTATACAACAACAACAAACTTATAAGGTTGTTGTTGTTGTATACTTACCATTCCCCGAATTACTCATGTCCATTCTATGTCACTGGGCAGGCACCCTGTGGTTCGGGTCAGATGCTGGTTCCCATCATACCTCAGGGGACATGCATAGCTCCCGAGGCTTCTACTTTGCTGTGAGGCCTCTCCTACTGGTCCACACAATGCTACTTGGACCTGCAGGACTATCTTGCTTGTCATGATACAAGAGCCAACTAGCAGGGAGGTGTGTGTGTGTACAGCTCCTGCATGGGTACACATAGGTCTCTATCCCCCTGCAGAAGCATTGCAACTCTTAGCTCTGTTGGAAAACATCTTGCCCAGAGGCATGTGGTTGTGCCCTGCTGCAGGGAGACTGATGCACAGGATCCTTCAAGGCAACCCCTACACAGGGCAAATTCAGGTCTCTGCCCTACACTAGCCAATGTTATAGCTTTTTTAGTAATGTTGGCAAACCTCCTTCCCAAAGGCACTCAGGAGTTCCCAAGTCTTCCCAAACTGTGGACAAATCAGCCCTTTTTCTTGTTTCTCATCTCAAGGTTGACAAGAGTCTACGGAACATGGTCAAACTCAGCCCATGTCTTCATTACTATTTTTCTCCAACTTCCACTCACATGTAGACCAATGTGGTCACCAGCAAGCTTACATGCCTGCTGTGTATTCTCTTTGGGTTTCAGTTTTCTTGGAGGGGGGATTTGTCCTAAGGGGACTTGATTGCTTGCCTTGATGGCTCCTAGGCAAACAACTTGTTCTTGTAATAGCCAAACAGATTGTTTTCTCTCCTGCTGGTCTTTCTTTCAAGAAGTATCTTCTCCTCCTCTAGCTGCTCTGGGCTGGTCTGCTTGTCCTTTCAAGTGGGAATGTCCCACCTCAGAAAGTTCTGGATGGGTCTCAGGATTCTCCCTAAGTTCCTATACACTACAAAGGCTCTGCAAGAAGCCTGTTTCACTGGACAAGTTCTAGAACCCCTTTTAGGTATTCCACTGAGGCTTAAGATGGGTTTACAAGCTTTTTGTAATCATGTTTCCTGATATTCCTTTCTAGCCCACTCAAGTGTCTATTTTATACTAGTAGGCAAGGGAAACCAATATTCATAAGCCAATCAAGCATCTTAACATTATTACCCCTCTTTTACCCATACCATTATCACAGAGCCCTGTTGTTTCAAGGTTGAGCATACATCACTATTTACCTCTATTCCATATAGTTCATGCAAACTTACCTAAGAGTTCCCCTAGCTTCCTTGGTCTTCCATGCCCTCTTCTTGTATATTGCCCTCCCCAACATCTGAGCTATGATGTGACTATCCCCAAATCTGTGCTCTACTGTCTCCTCCCTCCCACCCCTGATAACCAACATAGATTTTTTTTTTTTTTACTTTTAGTATGGGTATCTTTTCTTAAGCTTTTACAAAATGGTCTTATGCAATATTTATCCTTTTGTGACTGACTAATTTTACTCAGCATAATGTCCTCCTGGTTCATTCATGTTATATGGTGGTTTGCAACTTCATTGTTATTTTTCAAAGAAGCATAATTTGTATATCCATTCTTCCACTGATGTGTGCTTAGGGTCTCTCCATCTTTTTGCTATTGTGAATACACTATAAGGATCTTAAAATGAAATTATCCTGACTTTAGGGTGAGCCCGAAGTTCAGTGACTGATAACCTTATAAGAGAGAGAAGATGGAGATTTGAGACACATATACCCAGAGGGGAAGCCATATGAAGTCAGATTGTGGAGTGAAACATCTACCAGCCAAAGAACATGAAAGATTGTCAACAGCCACCCGAAGCTAGGAGGGAGGCATGGAATGAATTCTCTCTCAGAGTCTCTGAAAGAAAACAACCTTGATTTTAAACCTGTAGCTTCCAGAACTGTGAGCGAGTACATTTTTGTTATTTTAGGTTACTGAGTTCATGGCAGTTTGTTACGGCAGCCTTGGGAATTGAATACAAATATAATACTACTAAAAAATATTGTATCAAGTTATTTATTGTCATTAATTCTCTTGTGTTAGTAATTTGGTGCTGACTTTTTAGCAATTTAATAATGCAGTAAAGTGATTCACTTTTTAAGAGTAATCTAACTTTTTAGTTAGAAGAGCTCATTCTGCTCATAAGCTTGTTCTAAATCAATAATGGGCTGTTACACTTAAAGGTGAAGTCATCAAAGCCAATGAAAAGTAGTTCTACTATTAATGATGGCAATGAACTTGTGCTGACAATGATACGTCAACACTGCTGTCACAGTGTATGTTCTGTCATCACTCTATGGTTACTCTAGGAGACATTGGGAAGATGCTTTCTTTTTAAAATCACCAGCTGGATTAAATATATTTGAAATCAAAGTTGTTTCCTTTTGGAGCTGGATTAAGTAAATCAGTATCTTAGGATATAAAATGTGCTTTCCTTCAAGCTGAAAGTCTCATTGTTAAGATGATTTGTATTTCTAATTGGTTCTAGTATTTCAAAACTATTCTTGTTGGTATCTACTTAACCTTATGATCAAAAATGTACAGTAAAAACCAAGGCAGGCTTTAATGATGCCAGCTTTTAAACACAGAAAACCTTTATCATTAATGTAAAACTATCTATCTATGGAGTCCTGGTGAACGCTGGGGGATAAAGCATTGGACCACAAGGTTGGTCTTAACCACAGGGTCTTTGGTTCAAACTCACCTGCTGCACCTCGGAAACCCTACACAGGGTCACTATGAGTTAGAGTCAACTCAATGACACTTAGCATCAACAAACAGGAAGACTCAAAAAGCATGGCTTTTTGTCAGAAATCTGTATTGTACTTGTTTCATTATATATGCATATAAATACAGAGAGAGAGAGTCCTAGTGTGGCACTGTGGGATAATGCACTGGACCGCATGAGTTGGAACAGACTCAATGGCACTTAACAGCAACAACAATATATCTATAACTATATCTGTTTATCTATCTATCTATGTAATATATATATGTGTGTGTGAGTGTATATTTGTGGGAGAAAGATGAGACTTTCTGCTCCCTTGAAGATTTAAAGCCTCAGAAACCGTATATAGGGTCTGTATGAGTCGTAACAGACTCAACAACACTGAGCAACAACATCATATATATATTTACCACATCTCAAATTGGTCAGATATATTTTCCTTTACTACCAAGAGATTCAAGCTCATTCCAAAGATAAATATTTTTTCTTTATACTGCTGTTGTTATGTTCCATTGAGTGAGTTCTGACTCACATCAACTGTATGTACAATAGAATGAAACCAAGCCTGGTCCTGTGCCATCTTCACTGTTGTTCTCATGTTTCAGCCCATTGCTGCAGCCATTGTATCAGTCTATCTTACGTTACAGTCTTCCTCTTTTTTGCTGACCCTCTATTTAATCAACCATGATGTACTACTGCAAGGACTGATTCCTCCTGATAACATGTCAGCATACTTTAGATAACGTCTCACATTCTTGCTTCTAGAAGCATTCTGGCTGTACTTATCCCCAAACAGGTTTTCCCATTCTTCTAGCAGTACATGATATATTTAATATTCCTCACCGTCAACATAATTAAAATGCATCAATTCTTCTCTGGTCTTCCTTATTCATTGTACAGCTTTCCCCTACATATGAGGCAATCGAAAATACGATGGCTTGGGTCAGGTACACCTTAGCTCTTAAAGTGACATCTTTGCCTTTTAACACTTTAAAAAAGGTCTTTTGCAGCAGATTTGTCCATGTAATATATTGTTTGATTTTTTGACCACTTGTTTCCATGAGAGTTGATTGTTAGTGATCGAAGTACAATGAAATCCTTTAACAATGATTATCCTTTCTTCACTGATCATGATGTCGCTTATTGGTACAACGGTCAAGATATCTCAAGCTGAAAGAACTGAAGAAAAAAAAAAAAAAAAACCCAAGCCTTGAGTTGCAATATTGAAAAATTCTATGGGCAAGACATTGAATGACACAGAAGCATCATAAGAATATGAAAAGAAAACACAGTCACTGTACCAGAAAGAAGTGATGGAAGTTCAGCCATTTCAGAGACACAATAAGATCAAGAACCAATGGTATTGAAGAAAGAAGTCCAAGTTGCACTGGAGATATTGATAAAAAACTAAACAAGGCTGTAGAATTGATGGAATACTGATTAAAATTTTTCAACAAATGGATACAATGCTGGAAACACTCACTTATGTATGCCAAGAAATTTGAAAGACTTGAAGAGATCTATGTGCCCATTCAAAAAAAAAAAAGATGATCTAACAGGATGTAGATATTATCAAACATCATTAATATTACATGCAAGTAAAATTTTACAGGGGATAAATTAAAAATGGTTGTAGCAGTACATTGATGGGGTACTGACAGAAACCCAAGCCAGACACAGAAGAGGGCATAGAATGAGGGCTATTGTTGATGTCAGATGGATCTTAGCTCAAAGTAGAGAGGCCTATAAAGATATTTGTGACTGTGTGTTAAAGTGTCATTGAGTCAATTCTGACTTATAGTGACCCTATATAGGGTTTCCAAGAAGTGGCTGGTGAGCTTGAACCACTACCTTGCAGTTCAAACCCACCTTTCAGTTCAGCTCATTAACCTGTGGCATGACACCAGTACTCCTTACCTGTGTTTTATTGACTATGTAAAGGCATTCAACTGTGTGGATCATATGGATAACACTGAGAGGAATGGAGATTCCAAACACTTAATGGTGCTCATAAGGAATCTATATGTAGACCATCAAGGGACAGTGGTTTGTACTGAACAAATTTTAAAATTGAAAAAAGTGTGTATCAGGGTTTTATCTTTTCACCATATTTATTTGATCTGTATGCTAAGCAAATACTCTGAGAAACTATATTATGTGAACAAGAATGTGGCATAAGGATTAGAGGAAGACTCATTTGATATGCACATGACGCACCTTGCTTGCTGAAATCAAAAGCAGATATGAAGCACTTACTGATGAAGGTCAAATAATTCTCTCTACTAATACACTAAAAAGGAGTATTTACACATAACAAAAGATATGTTTATTAATAAGAAAATTATGTACTTAAATTGAAAAATGTAGTTTAATTAACAAAGTAACATTTTCCTTAGAAAGTCCCTAATGCCCAAAGGTTATATATAAGTAAAAACTATGTTAATGCAGAAAACTAACAATGATTAAAAAGCATGAAAGAGAAAATAAAAGCTTAGGAATAGGGTCATTGCTATCAAAATGCAAACTGTGACTCCAGATGGTGTTATTTATTGGTCAGTGTGACAACTGTGGGGTCAGAGTCCAAAGTAATCCATAAATTTCTTGTTCTTCTTACATCTGGTATTTATCTCTGGGTATAGAAAAAAATATATACTACTCTGTAGAATACACCAATCTACCATCTGCTACTTTGGAATATTTCAGTAGAACCAAGAGGAGTTATTGATATATGAAATGATTTCTTTGTCTTCCAATAAAATTAGTATGGGGGTTGTTGTTTTTAGGTGCCATCGAGTCAGTATCGACTCATAGCGACCTTATGCACAGCAGAACGAAAAACTGTCCGATCCTGGGCCAACCTATAGCCACGCTTGAGTCCATTGATGCTGCCACTTGGCCAATCCATCTCGTTGGGGGTCTTCCTCTTTTTCTCTGACCCTCCACCTTACCAAACATGATATCCTTCTCCAGTGACTGATCCCTTCTGACAATATGTCCAAAGTATGAGAGACGAAGTTTGGCCATCCTGGCCTCCAAGGAGCACTCTGGCTGCACTTCTTCTAAAATGGATCTATTGATTCTTTTGGTAGCCCATGGCATTTTCAATAATATTCAACACCATAACTCAAAAGCATCAATTCTTCTATGGTCTTTCTTATTCACTGTCCAGCTTTTGCATGCATATGAGGTGATTAAAAATACCATGGCTTGGGTCAGGTGCACCTTAGTCCTCAAGCTGACTTATTTGGTCTTCAACACTTTAAAAAGGTCTTTTGCAGCACATTTGCCTAATTCAATACGGCGTTTGATTTTTTGACTGCTGCTTCCGTGAGTGTTGATAGTTGATTCAAGAAGAATGAAGTCCTTGACAACTTCAATCTTTACTCGGTTGATAAGAATGTTGTTTATTGGTCCAGTGATGAGGATTTTTGTTATCTTTACATTGAGATGTAATCCATACCAAAGGCTGTGCTCTTTGATCTTCATCAATATATGTTTTAAGTCCTCTTCACTTTCAGCAAGCAAGGTTGTATCATCTGCATATCGCAAGTTGTTAATCAGTTTTCCTCCAATCCTGATGACACGTTTTTCTTCATAGAACCCAGATTCTTGGATTATTTGCTCAGCATACAGATTTAATAAGTATGATGAAAGAATACATCCTTGTCACACACCTTTCATAATTTTAAACCATTCAGTGTTCCCATGTTCTGTTCGAACAACTGCCTCTTGGTCTAGGTACTGATTCCTCATAAGAACAATTAAGTGTTCCGGAATATTCATACTTCACAATGTTGTCCATAGCTTGTCATGATCCAATAAAGCACAGGTAAACATCTTTCTGATATTCTCTGCTTTCAGCCAAGATCCAATCAACCTTAGCATTGATATCCCTCGTTCCACAGCCTCTTCTGAATTTGGCTTGAACCTCTGGAAGTTCTCTGTCAATGTATGCTTGCAGCCGTTTCTTTATTACCTTTAGCAAAACTTTACTCACATGGGATATTAAAGAGATTGTCCAATGATTTCCGCATTCCATTGAGTTACCTCTCTTTGGAAAGGGTGCAGATACGGATCTCTTCCAATCAGTTGGCCAGATAGTTGTCTTCCAAATTTCTTGGCAGAGATGAGTGAGTGCCTCCTGTGCCGCATCACTTTCTTGAAAGATTACTATTTTTATCCCATCAATTCCTGGTACCTTGTTCTTTGCCAATTCCTTCAATGCACCTTGAACTTCCTCCTTCAATATCATTGGCTCTTGATCATATGCTACCTCTTGAAACGGTTGAACATTAACTATTTCCTTTTGTTACAGTGACTCTGTGTATTCTTTCTATCTTCTCTTGATGTTTTCTGCATCATTCAATAATTTTCCCAGAGAATCTTCCAATTATGAAAGTCGAGGCTTGATTTTTTTCTTCAGTTCCCCCAGCTTGAGTAATGCTAAGTGTGTTCTTCTTTTTCATTTTCTGATTCCGGATCTGTGCACATTTTGTTGTAATATTTGGCTTTATCTTCTTCTCGAGTTGACCTTTGAAATTTTCTGTTCAGCTCTTGGACCTCCTCATCTTCCATTTGCTTTGGCATCTCTACGCTGGAGAGCAAGTTTCTGTGTCACTTCTGACATCCATTTTGACCTTTTCCTTCTTTCTTGTCTTTTTAATGACTTTTTGCTTTCTTCGTGTATGATGTTGTTGATGTCATCCCACAACTCTTCTGGTCTTCAGTCTTTAGTGTTTAATGTATCAAATCTGTACTTCAGATGATCCAAAAATGCAGGTGGGATATATTCAAGGTCATATTTTGGCTCTCATGGACTTGTTTTCATTTTCTACAGCTTCAGTTTGAATTTGTATAAGAGTAATTGATGGTCTGTTCCACAGTCTGCCTCGTCCTTATTTTGACTGATGATATGGAGCTTTTCCATCATCTCTTTCCACAGATGTAGTCAATTAGAGTTCTATGTATTTCATCTGGTGAGGTCCAAGTGTATAGTCATCTCTTATGCTGTCTAAAGGAGGTCTTATAGCATAGTGGTTATGAATTGGGCTGCGAACCACAAGGTCAGCAGTTCAAAACTACCAGTTGTCCTGCAGGAGAAAGATGAGGCTTTCTGCTCTCATAAAGATTTACAGCCTTAGAAACTCTGTACAGGGTCGCTATGAGTCGGAACCGACTCCATGGCACATAACAACAACCACAATGCTGTCTAAAGAAGGTATTTGAAATGAACAAATCATTGATTTTGCAGAATGCTATCATGTGATCTCCAGCATCATTTCTGTCAGCAAGGCCATATTTTCCAACTTCATATCCTTCCTCTTTGCTCCCTATCTTTGTGCTCCAATCTTCAGTAATGATCAGTACATCTTGATTGAATGTTTGATCAATTTCAGATTGAAGAAGTTGGTAAAATTCTTCTATTTTGTCTTCACTGTTTTTAGTGGTTGGTGAGTAAATTTGAATAATAGTGGTATTAACTGGGCTTCCCTGTAGATGCATAGATATTATTCTATCACAGACAGCATTGTACCTCATGACTGATCTGGTTATGTTCCTTTTGACAATGAATGCAACACTATTCCTCTTCAATTTGTCATTCCCGCATAGTAAACCATGTGGCTGTTAGATTCAAAATGGCCAATACCAGCCCATTTAGCATGGGGGTTAGTGAGTTATTATTCTCTAATAATATAAATAATAGTATCCCTAATAATACTCATTGTGTACTTACTGTATACCAGGACCTTCCCTACTTTTCACTAACTTGTCTAATCTTCAAAACAACCCTATGAAGAAGGAATTATTATGATACACTAGAAACATGACTGCCAGATCCGATACAGAACACCCAGTCAATTTGAATTTGAAAGAAACAAACAACAAATGTCTAAAATATTGAGTGAGACATGCTTCTAGTAAAAGATTGTTTCCTTGTTTCTCTAAAATTCAAATTTAACTGGAGTTCTACCTTTGTATATTCTAAATCTGGCAACCCTGACATGCCCAAAGTCATCCAGCTGGAAGAGACAGAATTGGGATTCAAACTGAGACTAACTCCAGATCTTTGCTTTTCTCAACTGCAATACCTCTCCAATGGAGATTGTAGATCCCAAGGAGAGGTAAAGTGATTAGAGTATGTGCCTATCCTGTCTTTGAGTTAAAAAGGAAAAGAGCTTTTGAATCTATGAAACATATGATATTACTTTATTTCTTATATCAGATAAACTTACTTTTGAGAAAGGAACAGCTCCAATACATCAGCATCCCTCTTGTGTCCACATATCTTTAGCTGATCTTCAACTGCCTGATAACATATAATTAATCTGTCAAATCACATTCCAATGAACAAAAATACTGAGGCATTTGCAGTCAATAACAATAATGTCTACACAAGCAGATCAAAAGAAAGGTGAACATAGAGGCAACCACTCTAAACTGATACATTCCAACCCTACAATTATATATTATTTACTCATTTTTGTGGTTGAATTTCATTATCCTTAATCCTGGACACAGATGTATAAATAATTTTTTAATCAGAGGGAAAAATGCATATATGTATGTCTACACCAAAATTCAGGTATTTGATTTTCTGTGAGACAGAAATAATTTAAAATTATTTTTAAAATAATTATTCTTAAATGTTCCTTTGAACATGAAGAATTAGTCATTGGTAGGTTTCCTATATTTGTAGAAAACACCAAGCATCAAGGTTGGCAGGATATGATGAGTGCTAGCATAGGAGACTCTGATAGCGTAGTGGTTACGAATCGGGCTGTGAACCACAAGGTCAGCAGTTCGAAACTACCAGCTGTTCCACAGGAGAAAGATGAGGCTTTCTGCTCCGGTAAAGATTTACAGCCTCGGAAACCCTGTACAGGGTCACTATGAGTCGGAACTGACTCGATGGCACATAACAACAACAACAACAACAAGCATAGGAGATTATTTTAAGAGACTGTGTTTAGCACTTAGTAAGATCTCAAAACAGGTCAGACAAATGAAGGAATTAGTGCATGTCATTAATCCTGCTGAATTGCTGTTGGATAAGCAGTGGACCACAAGGTCAGTTATAACTGCAAGGTGAGAGATTCAAACCCACCAGGCACTATGATTCAGACTATATGGCACTTACCAACAACATTTTTCACTGAATAAAGGAATATACAATATCCCTGCTTGCTTTTCAATGATCAGCATCTGCATTTTTCATGAGGTACTAGCATACCTGTACCACGGGAATTTTTGGTGGAGAAGAAGCAGCATTAATTCCCACAAGTTTAATTTTGAAAATATAAACTCAACAATAGCTACTTAAGTACTTTGTTTTTCTTAACATCCTTTTTTATGAAAAGAGTAGAGCTACAAGACACAACAAAAGCAGAAAATATAACAGTTGCACTTCTGGAATTTGATAAACATTATAATTATCAGACTCAAGACAATCACCAAATTTCAACCAGGATATCGTGGGTGGCGAGGTTGTAATGTCAGTAAATAATCTGTGAAATTTTGATGATGGTTTTACTATTTAGAAAATATCTGTGTTGTTACTTGCTGTCGGCTTGATTCTGACTCATGGAAACCTCAGAACAACAGAACAAACTGTTGGCTGGTCCTGCGCCAACCTCACAATTACCAGCTTATTAAAGTCAATCCAAAGGAGCTCTGGTAGCATAGTGGTTATGAATCGGGCTGTGAACCGCAAGGTCACCAGTTCGAAATTGCCAGCTGTTATGCAGGAGAAAGATGAGGCGTACTGCTCCCGTAAAGATTCAAAGCCTCGGAAACCCTGTACAGGGTCGCTATGAGTCAGACGGACTCCACGGCACTTAACAACAACAACAACAACTAATTAAATCCAGGAGGATGGTGGTGGTGGTGGTGTGCCATGGAGTCAGTTCCAACTCATATTGACCCTGTACAAGGTTTCCAAGGCTGTAAATCTTTATGGGAGCAGAAAACCTCATCTTTCTCCTGCGGGACAGCTGGTCATTTTGAACTGCTGACCTTGAGATTAGCAACCCAGTTCGTAGCCACTATGCTACCAGAGCTCCTTAGGAGGATGTTAGGATGAGTTAAAGTTTAGTGAGACATACAAATGTCTAAGGAAGTAAGGATGATCAATATCCTAAGGATGAAATGCAGCTGCTAAACGTATATTCCCAAACTTCCTTTGTTACCCTGTGAAAACAGTTGAATATAAGCATTAGTGGGATTTCATAGGCTCAGGTTTAGGCATTCCCATTAGGGTAATAATGGAAGAAATGAGGAAGTACAAGAGCTGAACAGAAAATTTCAAAGATCAGGTGGAGAAGATGAAGCCACAAATATTACAACAAAATGTGCAAAGATCTGGAATCAGAAAACCAAAAAGGAAGAACACATTGAGCATTTCTCAAGCTGGGGGAACTGAAGAGAAAATTCAAGCCTTGACTTTCGTTACTGAAAGATTCTCTGGGAAAATTATTGAATGATGCAGAAAGCATCAAGAAAGATGGAGAGCCAATGATACTGAAGGAAGAAGTCCAAGGTGTATTGAAGGAACTGGCAAAGAACAGGGCACCAGGAATTGATGGAATAAAAATTGAAATCTTTCAAGAAAGTGAGGTGGCACAGGAGGCACTCATTCATCTCTGCCAATAAATTTGGAAGATAACTATCTGGCTGACTGATTGGAAGAGGTCCATATTTGTGCCCATTCCAAAGAGAGGTGACCCAACGGAATGCAGAAATCATTGGATAATCTCTTTGATATCCCATGCGAGTAAAGTTTTGCTAAAGGTAATACAGAAATGGCTACAATCATACATTGACAGAGAACTTCCAGAGGTTCAAGCTGAATTCAGAACAGGCCATGGAACATGGGATATCATTGCTGATGTCCGATGGATCTTGGCTGAAAGCAGAGAATATCAGAAAGATGTTTACTTGTGCTTTATTGATTATGCAAAGGCTTTCGATTGTGTGTATCATGACAAACTATGGACAACATTGCAAAGTATGAATATTCTGTAACACTTAATTGTGCTCATGAGAAATCTGTACCTGGACCAAGAGGCAGTTGTTCGAACAGAACATGGGAACACTGATGTTTTCAAATTACAAAAGGTGTGCAACAGGTTGTATTCTTTCACCATACTTATTCAACCTGTATGCTGAACAAATAATTTGAGAAGCTGGGTTCTATGAAGAAAAACATGACATAAGGATTAGAGGCAGACTGATTAACAACCTGCGATATGCAAATGATACAACCTTGCTTGCTTAAAGTGAAGAGGACTTAAAACATTTATGATGAAGATCAAAGAGCACAGCTTTTGGTATGGATTACATCTCAATGTAAAGATAACAAAAATCCTCACCACTAGACCAATAAACAACATTCTTATCAACGGAGTAAAGATTGAAATTGTCAAGGACTTCATTCTTCTTGGATCAACTATCAACACTCATGGAAGCAGCAGTCAAGAAATCAAATGCCGTATTGCATGAGGCAAATGTGCTGCACAAGACCTTTTTAAAGTGTTGAAGAGCAAAGATGTCAACTTGAGGACTAAGGTGAGCCTGACCTAAGCCATGGTATTTTCAAAATCCTGATATGCATGTGAAAGCTGGACAGTGAATAAGAAAGACTGTAGAAGAATTGATGCCTTTGAGTTATGGTGTTGGAGCAGAATATTGTAAGTGCCATGGGATGCCAAAAGAACCAATAGATCTGTTTTGGAAGAAGTGCAGCCAGATTGCTCCTTGGAGGTCAAGATGGCCAAACTTCGTCTGTCATACTTTGGACATATTGTCTGGAGGGACCAGTCTCTGGAGAAGGATATCATGTTTGGTAAGGTGGAGGGTCAGAGAAAAAGAAGAAGACCCCCAACGAGATGGATTGGCCAAGTGGCAGCATCGATGGACTCAACCGTGGCAACAGTAGTGAGGTTGGCCCAGAATTGGGCAGTGTTTCGTTCTGCTGTGCAAGAGGTCACTATGGGTCGGTACTGATTCAATGGAACCTAACAACAACAACAACAACATTAGGGTACTTTGTAACCCTGTTAGGTAACTAAATCTGAGGCTAGGAAGAACCAATTATATCAAGTTTAGGCATTCACATCTCAGCATGTTGGCGTAAACATCTAAATGGCAAAGAGAAATGAAGTCTTGATAAATACTACAACATAGATGAGACTTAAAAACATTATACTGAATAGGATAAGTCAATCACAGATGACTAATACTACACGACACCGTTTAAATAAAAAGACAAGTATAGGCAAATACATATTAGTAGTAGTCACCAGGGGAAGGAGGGAGGGGAGAAGGGAGAATTGTTATTTATAGAGTAGATAAGCACTGGACTGCTTCTTGCAAAGTGGGAGGTTCAAAGCCATTAATTCAATGGCACCAACAACAACAACCACAATAACAACAAAATTTTGGTTGGAGTCCAGGTAATATAAGCACTGAACTGCTAACCACAAGATTGGCAATGCAAACCCACCAGTAGCTCCTCACAAACCCTAAACACTATACAGGGTCATATGATTAAGAACTGACTACATGGTACTTAGCCACAGCTTTTGGTTTATATTGATAAATTAAAAAAAAAAAAACTATACAGATTAAGAGTAGGATTGCACAGCCAAGCAATATAATTGGTCTCATTAAGTTGGATATGTATAAAAAGTTGAATTGGCAACAGTTGTGTGATAGGTATATTTGCAATGGAAAACAAAAAACAAAACAAAAAACACAGCTACTGAAGTTGCATACGTACAACCAAACACCTTGTGGGATTTAGTTCTTTGCTTGGAGTCTCAGGGTCATGGTTCCATGGACAATCCCAATTGATTTGCCTAACATTGTGTTTAGTGTTTCTGTTCTGCCTCCTAGTTTGTTGCATAGTTCCTAGGGTCTTAAAAGCTTGCAGCCAGTGATCCAAGGCACAATGTGCAAACTCACTAGCTGCTCTTCAGAAGCCCTATACAGAGTCACTGTGAGTTTAATCAACTCGACAGCCCTTAACAACAACATTCACTTTAGCAAGGAGCCTAGATGTTGTTATAGGTTAAGTATTGGGTTGCCAACTGCAAGGTCAGCAGTTCAAATTCAGCAGACACTCCACAGTAGAAAGGTGAGGTTGTCTGCTCCCTGAACAATGCATAGTCTCAGAAACCCTGTGGTGCTGTAGGATATGTACTGGATGACACTAACTGCAAAGTTGGTGGTTCAAACCCACCAGCCATTTCTCAGAAACCTTATAAAGGGTCACTATGAGTCAGAAACAACTCGATCACATTTAACGAC